TAAAATTCATTTTACCATAGTTAAATTCAAAAGATAAAAGAACATGAAGTAGTATTCAAAACCACCTCATTTTTAAGTCGGCTAAATATGTAAGACATTTCTTTCAAAATACTTCCTACCTGTTTCTTATTCCTCCGACATGCAGGTTTCCTCACGATGTTTTCCTTCACCGCCGAGCACGTGGTAAATCAGCACTTAAAATTGCAATTAACAATTTCATTTCTGTTATATTTACAGCGAGCGTTAACCATCTGAGCTACCACGGCTCCACCTGCATGTCGGAAGAATAAGAAAAAAAATATTTCTAAGACATGTGAAGTTCACCAACACACATTGGGGCAGCGCGGCGGACACTTCCTTGCCCTAAAACCCTCTCAGAAATGAAGGGTGGCCTGTGCCCAGCAGTGGGTCGTATATAGGCTGTAACTTTACTTTACTATACTTCCTACCTGCATTATCCGAAAATCCTGCTGCCGTTTATTTACAGGAGTTGGATCGTACTGTTTAATTTAATATGTTCTTTGTGAGGAAAACAACAATGGCGGGAAGGGGACAATAAAAATAGTAATAGCTGGAATGCGGCCTCGGAGGGCAGGAAAAATCGCTTTGTCATTGTTTGCGGGAAGAAGTCTCTATAGCGGCGGATGGAGGCGAATGCCAATCACTACACAGTCTGAGAAGATTGTGCTTTTGTATTTCAATATAACATACATAACATTTTAATCAGTGTAGAGAAAGAAGAAAAAAAAGATAAAAGTATATAAAAAGAAAGACTCTGATGAGACCAACTACTGTTACACCCTACTTAAGCGCACTGCTGTAAACAGACCTCCGCCATAGATCCTCGCATATATATTTACTTTAATGGCATGCTTGGCAAGCGGGTTGGCACCCGCAGTTTTTTTATTTTTAGTCTTTATCAGGAACAAGCTGCTGTCCCTCTTCTGATTTGTTTTCACTCTATCGCCTCTTAAGACTCCCACAGGATGATACGAGATAGTGGATATTCTTACATCACCGTAACACGCAAAATTGAGTCCAATGAGCCATCTAAATTTAATGCAATTAAACCTACAGAGTCGTGATAGTTCAAGGGTTAATTGCTCGCTGTGTAACACAAAGTACGCCAGTAACCGCAGCTTATTACCCAAGGGCAAGGTAAATAGCATTAGTATGCACAAAGTTTGAACACATTTATGCACTTTGCTAAGCACTGTCGCTTTTGCAACGCAAAAGTGAACTAAGTTTTTTTAAATATGTATTGAATAAGGGTAACATATTCAATACTTATTTAAAAAAGTCAGTAAAAATCGAGCACACTGAACTGATGGTAAGTCGATGCTGTGGCCCATATACATTTACATATACTCTCATTTAATTGAGAAGTAAGATAGAATGCCTCGTTGCAATTAAAAGAGGTATCCGATTCTCTACACTCAGTGACTGTGACTAGAATTTGAGCGGTGCAGTAACGATGCTGTTACCAAATTCTATATTATAATTATTTCTTTTCTTTAACCTTTATAAGTATTTAAGTATTATATTAGTAGTAGTCCCAGTATATAAGGGAAAAGGGTGGCAGCAGGACTGTAAAAACTACCGCGGTATCAGCCTTCTTAGCATCGTGGGAAAATTGTATGCCAAGGTACTAATTGAAAGGGTCATGAAAGAAACCGATGGAAAAATTTGGGATGTGCAAGCGGGATTTAGAAAGGGAATGGGATGTACAGATCAAGTCTTCTCCATGCGCATGATCGCGGAGAAGTTTTTGGCCAAAAACCAAAAGGTTTTTTGTGCGTTCATGGACTTGGAGAAGGCCTATGACAGAGTGGATAGGAATGTTCTATGGCAAACACTGAACTCATTTGGGTTGAGCGCTGGCTTGATACAGGCATTGGAATCTCTTTATAGGGACTCTAGTGCTTGTGTTAGGATCAACGGGGTCTACTCGGACTGGTTTGGCATCCATAAAGGTGTCAGACAGGGCTGTGTGGCTTCCCCGTGGTTGTTCAACCTATTTATGGACAGTTGTTTGCAAAATTTGAAAGTTGAAGAATGCGGATTAAGAATGGGTGAGTTAACCATCAAATGCCTTTTGTACGCCGATGATCAAGTTATTCTTGCGTCGTCGGCGGCTGAGTTGCAAATGATGGTTACATTAATGAACAGATCATTAAAAGAAAGGGGTATGAAAGTGAACGCAAGTAAGACAAAAATTATGGTTTTTGAAAGAGATGAAAGTAAAACGATATGTGAAATAAGAATAGAAGGGGAGTTGATCGAGCAAGTAAATGAGTTTGTATATTTGGGTTGCGTATTTAGCAGGGATGGGAGATATGATAAGGATATAGAACGACGAGTGAACGCAGGAAACAGAGTAAATGGGGCCCTGCACTCTATTGTGAAGAGTCAAAATGTGTCAAAAAAGGCACGTATGGCAATTCACAATGCTGTGTTGGTCCCTACTTTAACGTATGGTAGTGAAAGTTGGGTGTGGCAGAAGAAGCACGAGAGTAGAATAAATGCAGTAGAAATGCGGTCGTTAAGGAGTATGTTAGGGCTGAATCTGAATGACAGGGTGAAGAATTGTGTGATAAGAGAAGAGTGTGGTTTGCAAGATGATGTTGTGACCAGGATTAAGAAAGGTATGCTCCGGTGGTTTGGTCATGTGGAAGGAATGGATGAGGAAAGAGTGACAAAGAAAATTTATGGTGCAGAAGTGAATGGCAGAGTCTGAAAGGGACGTCCTAGGCGAAAATTTATCGACCAAATTGGCGATTTATTGAAAACGGGCCAAATTAGGAGTACCCTTAACCGACGAGCATGCATGCGTAAATGTATGGATGTGAAGGAGGCGAGAGAGGTGTGTCAGGATCGTGCCAAGCGTGGAAGTCTGTAGTCTCTGCCTACCCCTCTGGGTGACAGGCGTGAGTGTTTATGTTATGTTATGTTATTATATTATATTCTATTATTTTAAAATATCTTATTTCTCTAGCTTTATTAAGCAGAGCTGTCAGTACGAAATTTGAAAATTAGTAGTCATAACAATCAAAACAATATTTTACTTGATAAATTATACCATTATTTATCATTTTACTAATTTCATTATAGCATATAAATGTTCACTACTGAACAAACGCCTTCCTAGTACGTAATCGCTTTAACAAATCCCTACTGCGAAGAGATCTTGTGAGAAGAACCTACCCTAATTTTAAAACTCTACCGGTAAGCTAGCACATGTTCACATTTACATTGGTTTATTTACTGTATTGCGAGGCAAGGGTTGGAATCGCAGATAAACTCGGTTGCATAATTGCCGCTTTTTATAGCAACACAGGTAAGTAGATACTGTTGTCCATAAATATTTAACATCTTAAACTTTGATTAAGAAACAAAATGCAGATGCGATGTTGCCTTTGAGATGGTAAGGTATTATGGTGTTAATTACGTCTTCTTCTTAATTTTTTTTCTCTTATTACAATATTACTTAACCTAGCCAATTAAGATGAGTGCGTGTACTTATACTTTTAACTTTTTTATAGAAGGAGTGACAAACGGGCCTCACCTGATCTTAGGAGACTATCATTGCACAAAAACAACTGCAACACCAGGGGAATTGCAGGTGTGTTGCCCGCCTTTTAAAATTACTACGTTCTTTTTTAAAAGCTCAATTAGTTTTTCCGATTCTACAAAGAAGTCGTGTAATGAAGAAAATTTTTCGTCTTCCAGATTGTATGAATGATCGCAAATTTTGTCGGGATGTGTGGTCGTGAAATTAAGTGACTGGCGTTAGTCCGAACAAGTTCACTGAGCACTCCATGTTGTAGATACGATAGAATATGCAAAGTAATGCAAAATCTCTTCACAACGCCCGTGAATGAAAGCGAAACAAGCAATAAGAAAGAACTTCTTCGCTGGATGCTTTTGTAAGCGGTGTGATGCCATCAAATACTATCATGCTCTATTGAGAACGCTAAGGTTTTCATAGGTCAATTTCGCCTTCCTTTCCAAGTGACTGAACGTCACTTGATATGTTAACATCGCCGTTTTCGATTCTTGCTGAAACAACAACTGAATGGCCTTGAAATTGTGGAAATACGCCAGAAGATTTGTTTTTATAACGATAAACGCCCACACCTCTGTCTTCTATTGGTCAAACTGAACCAGATTAATTTTCATGCATTCATTTAATAATTCCAGGCTTTAACATTTTACTGTTGAATATAGACCTCTAGGAATGCCACAAAGCACGGTCCTGAGCCACCTGCATTCATCGTCTTCGAGGGCGTCACTCAGTGGGGGGATGCCCTACACTTCACTTGCTGGTACGAGGCTGCCACTCGAGAACTTTTATTCTCCATCAGTTGTCGGTTCTACGAGCTATATAGCCGGACCATTGCCACTTTTTTTACGGATTAGAACTAGATTTAGTACCTTCTAATCCAAACTTTGATAAACAAAGGCTCAATTTCAGACAGGTTTGTTCGGCATTCAACGACGCTTTTTGAGAAATATTAGCATCTATGATTATTTATGATATGCTGTCCTTCCCAGTTATTGATAGTAAAATACTACAAAAATGACTTATTTTACGGCACCGTCTAAATTACCCAGCCTTTTATAAATATTCAATGAATATGCAAGCAGCACACAGGCAAAATCCACAAAAGAACTTTTGCAGAGTAGAATAATGTAGTAAACTCACACAAACGAGACGAACAATCTCATAGAGGCGTAGCGCTACGGCGTAGCTTGATTTAGTTTTGTTCGAGGCTCTACGGTGGGTGGGCGTGTCAGTCCTTTTGAAGCTTTTCTAAAGATAAAGATACCATATTATTATTCCTTATTATTTAATTCTAAATTTTTAAATATTGGTATATAGTGTTTTTTATGTAATATTTTATCCATTGAAAAAGCACGGGGATTGATTTTTTAAAGTTATTTAAAAGATGAAAACTTCACGCTAAGTTAATTAATAAGTGATAAATTAGATAGTCCCGATGAGAAGGATCTGTCAACTCGGTTTCTTGCTCCTGTGCTTCTTAGAAGGTAAATATAAAACTATCTCGCCAATTTTATCGTGTTAAATGTTAATTTCTTATAACATGATTTGAAAGGCAGTAAATATGCTATCAGTTAAAAATGAATACTGATAAGATTATTATGACTAAACCATACATTTTATGCACATAACATTGATTAATGAAACATAGCGCAACTGTAGCATTATTAATTTGTTTAGTATAATGAAAGTCTTTAACTAATCATATTTAATGGGAATTGGTTATATATGATTAATTGTTGTATATTATATAATTTTAATCATATTAACTAGAAATAATTCAATTTTGTTAATAACATTAACAAAATTTAGGCTTTTAACTTCTAAAATGTATGTGACGTAGATTTGTTTTACGGGGAATGAATAGGATTAATTATTACAAGTAATTATCATATTAACTACGTATAATGTTAGATAACTTTACGTAGTAGATTCATACTACATCTATGTTACGGTTTTAGCACGAATGCGTCGGCTCGACCGGAGAAACAACACGCTCTCAGAGAATACTAGCGTAACAGCAGCTTACTGCTGCTATGTTTCGTTTATTGAGTTAGAGAGCCTGGAAATCCTTGTTATTGGATACGAAGCACTCTACCTTTGTCCTCAGGGGTAGCAAGGTTTTGTTATTCTTTATCGAGGGTATATATAGATTTCTAGGGGCCACAGAACCTATTTATCATAAGGTGAACTATATGCTTGTATATAATTCTATAAAGGTGACATAATTCTTAACTAACTTTAGTAAAAACAACCTTATCTGACAATACAGGATTAGTTATTTATTTTTATTATTACTATTTAATACTAACGAGAAATAAAAAATATATAAAGGAGAGTCCAACGCAAACGGCGCGAAACGGTTGCAATATAAACTATCAATGATTGAATTTAATGAACTGCGTGAAAGTTTTAGATTTGAAACTGTAATTATTCGATTAAGAAAGAGATAAAATAAATTAATATTGTTAATTCTATTTGAAATTTGAGTTTAACCCCTTACATTGCACTAGACATGGGAGATAGATTTATGGTTTAAAATTTGCTTATATAGGCTTATGAATAATTTGTATCCATAGTTGTTAGGACTTCAACTTAGGAGACTTAGTAGACGAAGGCAAAGCCCTGAGGAAGCTTTTGGTGGGATATGCGGCGTGGTAAGTTGTAAATTAAGTTCGTTTCATACCGTCTCGGTCTCCGTTATCCGTCTTGTGGAATGCTTCCGATATCGAAATCGCACACATCACTTGATTTGTCGATATATTTTAGCGCAGCACCCGACGCTATTCTAAAATTTATAAAAAAAAATTGATGAAGATAAAGTTGTAACTTTTAGATATATTATCTGTATTTACGATTTTTAACGGCAGTAAAATATTTTGACAGTCAAAAGAAGAAAACATAATTAAGCTTTTAGTAGTAATTTTTTGTGGTTTCTTGGAAAGGCATATTATGTCAAATTGTGAATTGAAACAATGTTTAAAACATTAGTCGTTGATTTAACACAAGTTAGCAGAAAGATGATGATGTTGCCCATCTCCCGTTTCAATTTTACTTTATCGCTCTTACTCGTGTGATACGGGATAGTGGATATTTTTAGGTCACTACACAGTGAGCAAGTTATTTAAAAAAAGCAGAAATAAGATTCATTTTAAATACGTCATTCAAAAAGATAATATCTTTACAAACTTGTAAAACGATTTTCGTGCCATCTGGTTTGAGGGTTAGGGAAGAAAAACAAAGGTACGAATATGTGTTATACATATAAACGATTGCTGCCTACGAGGGCTGGTCTACTCAGGTTTATAGATAAAAATATAAGTTATTTGTTGACGAAACAATTCAAAATATAATAAAAAGAGTGTACCGGTGGGGTTTTTTTCTGCACGTTCAACAAATTAGATGTTATTTTTGAAGTTTCTTTATATCACAATATCCGCTTATTATGGTTATTTCACATCTAATGTCAGATATTATGGTCTGGTTCAGTAAGTCAACAGCATCGAAGTAAACAGAGTTCTCAGCGCACATAAAACGTAAACGTGCTATATAAAGGTCAATTTGATACAAGACCTTATTTATTAAGCTGGGTATATAAACGATCTCTGGCATTAGAAATATATAATTTTGTCACTTCAACAAATATATAAAAGCTTGCCACCTCAACAATATATATATAAATTTGTTAAAAAAATATAAAAGAAGAAAAAAAAAATTAACATTTAATGTTATGGTGTTACAAATTTACAAATGTATTTATTATTAGAATGTAGTACATAATAATATGGTGTTATTAGTTATTAGCGAGACCTTACATTTTACCATGACAATGGCGTGCAATATTTTACAGTAAACAAAAAATATTAATACAATTTAGTGAAGTAAATTATTGAAGAAAATGAATTATGTAAAAAATATATAAGCATCAAATTTTTAGATTACAATAAATATTACATGTCAATGTTTATATCAAAATGTATGTAAATGTTTATATAAATGTCAAATATATAAAAAGTCAAAACATTGTTAAAAAATTTAATAAATGTTAATATCTAAAAGATCAGTTTTTTTTCATATTTCACCATTATTAAAATAGGAGATAATTTTTATTTTCGGATGAATACATACACAGTACATGTTACTATATTGTCATAAATTGTATAAAACTATTACCAAAATTTATATAAATTGCAATTTACTTATTAAAAAATATATTACGTTTCGACTTCAATTTTTTTTATAAATAGCTAATGGCATAATAGAAGAAAAATGTCGGATAATTATTAATTATTTTTAAATAAAATAAAATAAAATCTCAATGCGCAGTGAAATTACAGTAGTTCATTCATTAAATTTACAATCTAGAAATTCTTTGACGCTATAAAAGGTACTTTCTGCAAGAAAATCATTGATGCTTTTTTTGTAAATCTTAGTAAATAAAGTGATTTAATATGCTGAGGAATTTTGTTATATATTTTGACACACATATATAGACAGCTTTTATTATACTTGGATAGTCTAGGAAGTGTGTCGATTACAAGTTTTTTCGGGGTATCTATGGTTTCGAGAAGATATACCCTTTGCTTTAGTAAACAGATGGTAGTGTTGTTTAACGAACAAACAAATTTCATATATGTAGAGCGAGGACAATGTCAATAACTTAAGGTTTTTGAATAAAGGTTTACATGAATCAAATGGTGCTTTAAGAGTCAGCGCTCGTAGACATTTTTTTAGTGATAAAGACTTTATTTAATTGACAACCATTTCCCCAGATAGTTAACATGTTTATAATGTTTATAATAAAACATTATGTAAGCAGTTAAAATTAATAAAATACATACAAAATATAGTCAAGCTACCGATTATAAATTAAGTTTTACAATATTTTTATAACTATTATATTTAAGGTGAAAGATATCTAGTTCACAATATTTTAGTTAATTTTTTTACATGTACTAGATACAAAATTATTTGAAGCATACTTCGTTTTAATTTTACGTAATGCAAACACAAACGTAGACGAAATTGCTTTTTGTATAAAAGCGTATCACTAATTTTATCTATTAAAATTATAACATCCTAATGGAGCATTAATTAACTATTAAATATATTTAAATCACGACATTATGAAATACATATTAATTACATTGAATAAGTTGCCATTTTAGAATCTATTACCTTTATTTGATAATTTAAAAAAGTTTGCATGCTGTATCTGACGTCTAAATAGGTCTTTAAGCAACTTATTTTTACAGTATAAAACATAATACTCACCCTAAAGTTAAAAGTTAAAGTTATAGTCTATAACCGTCCCACAGTTGGGCACAGATCTCCTCTCATTTGTCGGAGGGTTTTAGGGCAAGAAAGTGTCTGCCGCGCTGCCCCAATGCTTGTTGGCCAACTTAACATATCTTCGGTTTTTTTTATCCTCGCAATGTTTTATTCACCGTCGAGCACCTGGTGAATCGGCACTTAAAATTTCAATTCACAATTTCATTGGTGCCGGCGGGGATCGAACCCGGGTTGCTTATGTGCTGTGGAATTTACAGCGAGCGCTTTAACCATCTGAGCTACCACGGCTCTGGAAAATAAGGGAATTTCAATATGAACTTGAATAATTTGGTAAAAATAGTAGATTTATAATAACGGAAACGTTTGACACAATAATTAAAATTTTCTTATGTCGTTATAATAATAGAGTTTCCACATCGTTTCCATTTCGTTTATTTTTACATATACAATTTTATTCTAAAAAAGTTTTTCTAGTATTTTTTAAAAAGAATTCGTTTATCGAGGCCGCTACAAAATATCGTAACATGTAACGAAGTATTCTATCTTGGTCCTCAGGAGCGACAACATTTCTGTATTTTGTTTCTTATTCGAAGACAGATCTTACAGGTGTCTATGTGTCACGGCATTCACCCACCATAAGATCATAAAAAATCGATTTTATACTTTTGTCTTTTTGTTACAGCGTTTTTATTAACTTTTCTTTATGCTCGTTTTTATATATGTCTGTTCGGGTTGAATTTAGTAATTAACCAACTCCCCCCCCCCCCCATGAGCTAGATACTATGTCATAGATGAATCACTCATAAAAATATGAAAAATATGAGAAAACTATAAAAATAGAAAACGTAGTGATAATATACTCTTTGCATATGTAAAAGCATAACGGTCAAATTTTTTTATATTTCTAAAAATCTGTAATCATAGGAATAAAGCGACAGTGATCGAATGGTAGAGTCGTAGGTTCGACTCCGCCATAACTTACCAGGAATGGTTGAAGAGAATATTAGTAATGTTTGGAATGATATGTGAGAGAGACCTTGGTAAATATTTTTGCACTATAAACCATTTTAGAGACGTTACTCTGTGTTCGGCTCTTACTCTATGAACTCGCGTAGTGACGGTGTAAGGATATCCACTAACCAATATCGACCCGAGGGTTGTGAATTGTGACAAAGGGGAAAGTAAAAACGAACAT